GCAAATGTATCTAAGAAGAGGTGAAATCTAATAAACAAGACACAGATAAAGGCTGCCTTAAAATAGTTGAATGAATGCATGCTCTGTACCAGCACAGAGATGCTCTCACTCCCCTCACCTCCCTGCTCACTCCCATGTAACTTCCAGAGATTTCATATAAAATGGGAGTACAAGATCTAACCTCGTGTGCATCATGGCACCGTAAACACCACTGACTTAAAAGAAAAGCGTAAACAGCCATTAAACCAAATATCTTAATTCTCTAGTAGATAACGGCACTCGCTGCTGTGATTTTTGATTCCTGCTCTTGCTTAGACCTAGGACTTGGGGTGCATATGAAAGAGAGCTGAAACGCCTGCTGAATTGTCGTAAGAGCAAGATACAATTAGATGACATGGATATAGCCTCATGCCTCTTAGAATGGTCTCATCAGCTGTGACAGCTTCATGAGAGAAACTAAAAGAGCCACGTTCTGCTGAACAGTTGTTGACAAAGGTACAGAAGATGCAGCGCGTTCTGTGAGAACAACCTGCCGCTCAGGAGGCCCCTTTGCACCGAGCACGGCTATTCGTGGCGTCTCTGCTCTGCAGACTGGAAGGGCCTGGGCCTCATCCCCCGAGGTCTAGTCTGATGAGAGACAAGCAGGGATGAACTACACACTCAGCGGGATTTGGTGTCACCATAACGCGGCCTCAAATGTGATGCCCAGACTCGTTCTTGGCCTTCGTCACTAATAAAAATAACTTGCTAACAACGAAGTCCCCCCGTCTTCATTTGTCAAGTAACGTACAGTGTGAGTCTCCCCACTGAACTCTGACAGTCCTGTCACCTGCTCTGTTACTCTGGTGTTGTCAACGTGAGAGCAGATTCTGGCTGACATGTTTGTGACATAGTCAGTTTCAACACATTGTTCTCCCACAGACCCGCTGAGCAGATTGCCTTAAAATGAACTCAGACTGGCTGTGGGCTGTTGTCACTACTGATTCAGATTTCATGGGAGCTTAAATGGGTAAAGCAAGGTGATGGGAACTGATGACTAGTGCACTGGGCTCAGCCAGGTGGGTCGGGGAGAGAGGCACAAAGCTGCGGGGAATGAACATCACCCGTTCCTGGCTGAACGTCTGCATCAGCTCGAGCGGTGGACCCAATGGCTGAGGCTCTGTAGGGAGGGTGACGCAGCCTTTGAACAGGTAACAAGTCTCCCCTTTGCACATGGCCTTATCTCACCTTATTTTATTTTGCTCTTTTGTTTTTGTTAGGGATTGCCCACCTTTGGTACCGGAATGCCTAACACATAAAACCATGTGATGCTTTCTGCGTGCTTTCTCATGCAGGTGGATGGGGGAGGAAGCTCAGCATTCCATAGCACGACAGGGCGGATGTGATTAACAACTTAGTGCGTACCTTCGAATAGCTAGAAGAATGGATTTTGACTATTTCAACAAAAGAAATTATAAATATTTGAGATAATGGATATGCTAATTATGCTGATTTTATTGTTATACATTGTATGCCTATATTAAAATTCATGGGCGGTGCCTGTGGCTCAAAGGAGTAAGGCCCCATATGCTGGAGGTGGCAGGTTCAAACCCATTCCCGGCCAAAAACTGCAAAAAAAGAAAAAATTTCACACCATACCTCATACATATGTACAATTATGTGCCAATTAAAAATAATAAGATGTGCCAATAGACAAATGAGAATAAACCAAAAAAAATCTTTTGGAGTGGAATAGTAAAATCCTTCCAAATCTTTAACCTTTTCTTAAAAGGCCACTTATCAAAATTTTCACATGTGCTTGAAAAATTATGTTTTTGTGATTTTCTCTTTAATGAATAGGATCCAAATTGCTAAGCAAGTCTGTGAGAAATTCACAAGTATAATTCAAAATTTCAGTGTGCATCTAAAATCTAGTTTATAAAATGTAATTGTCTTCATTCACTATGATGGTTGGAAGAAAGCAAGACGTTATTTTTCCTTAAATTTATTTGCATATGCAAAGTGCTATGAGCCTAAATTAGAGGTCAGAAAAATAAACCTTGATAAAATAGCCCCACTAACTAACTTCTATGGCTCAATTGTGGCCGTGCCATGTGCTGTGGTAAAGGCTTTAAAGGTAGTAGTTTGTTTAAACGTTGCAACAATGGTTTGGGGTAGTTACTTAAACCATTGCCTCTGGTTTATAAATGAGGAAATTGAGGCTTTGAGAGGTTAAGTAATGTGCTTGACCTTGATGTCCAAGGTCACATAGCTAGTTGGGGAGGCGGTCAACATTCAGGCCCAGGCAGCCTGACCTCAGACCTGTGTTCTTCATCACCATGGATATCGTATAAACGGAATCAAACAGAGGCACAGTCACAAAATGGGATGATAATTAAAGTGTCAGGTCACATTATTTCAAATATTTAACTTTGGTAATTGAATATTTAAGGTACTTCTGATTTCACTGACAGAAAATGTGTTGCATAAATATGGTTTTACATCATTTAAAAATTATCTCATCAGAGTTGTAATTTCGGGGAGAAGGGGGCTGCAAAGGCCGACGTGCTTCTGATCAGGTCTTTGCTGAGCTGTGATGAGGCGGCGAGCTGGCCTTCTGATCAGTCCCACCTCTGCGGGAGCTGAGCTGGCCTTGGGTTCAGGCCCACCTCTG